CTGCATCTGCAAATGGCTACGTTCGCAGCGAAGGATGCGGTGCACTACTTCTAAAGGCACTTCCCCGTCAATCTACGGACCCTTCCACCGTGTATGCATGGATTCGTGGGGCTGCTAACAATCATGTAGGCAGAAGCGCCAGCCTGACAGCACCCAATGGCCCTGCCCAACAAGCTGTAATCCGATCCGCCTTGAGAGACGGCCGAGTTCAGTCGCCCGCAGATGTAGCTGTTCTGGAAGCACACGGCACAGGGACGGCTCTTGGAGACCCCATTGAGGTTGGAGCAATTCGCGCAGTGTATTGCAAGGGCTTTGTAGATAGTCCACCCCTCATAGTGGGTGCTCTAAAGTCGCTTATGGGCCATGCGGAGGGGGCTGCCGGCATTGCCGGCCTCATCAAGCTCATTCTCGTGCTCCAACACAGATTAGCTACCCCGAATTTACACTTAACCGTGTTGAACCCCCATATCGATGTTAGTGGAAGCGATAAGTACAGAGGACTAATGTTCCCCAGCAAGTGTATTCCCCTCGATGCCCTCTTCGGCATTCGAGATTCGGAGCCATTGTTAGGTGCAGTGAGTTCGTTTGGATTTGGCGGTTCGAATGCACATGCAATCGTTGAGGTGAACCCAACTTTTAAGTCAACGTGGACGGACACCTGGGAGCAGACTACAGATAATCAAGAAAAGGGCCGCGCGAAAATCATATGGTTGTTTACAGGGCAAGGGTCGCAATATTTGGATATGGCGTGCGCCTATTTCCACCACAGTGCAATATTCAGGGGCATGCTTGCTGAATGCACTGCCTGTTTGAAGGAAATGCATTGGTTCCCGGATAATGGGCCCCAAAGCATCGAGGATATGATATATGGTGCAGGGGCGCATCCAGATCGAAAAGCAATGGAGGAGCTGTTAAGTCAAACGAGGTATTCGCAAGTCGCCATTGTTGCAATAGAGCTCGGTTTGAGTAAGGTTCTTGTGGAACGTGGACTGATGCCAGACATCGTTATTGGCCATAGCTTGGGTGAGTACGCAGCGGCAACTGTTGCTGGTGTGATGGGGTGGAGAGATGCGTTGCGCTTGGTTGCAAAACGCGCTTCATTGTTGGCTGCACAGCCGAACCAGAACGGGGTCATGGTCGCCTGTCGCGTCTCAGCTGCTGCAGTCCAGTCTGCACTTTCGACCGACATGCGACATTTGAATGCAGTGGCATTAGCAGGGGACAATGCTCCTCAGAGCGTGACGATTTCAGGCACAAAAGAGGACGTAGATACTTTATTGAGGCATCTTGGAGTGTCGGAGGCTTCCAGGCGTCTGCATGTGTCCCATGCTTTCCACTCGCCGCTGATGGCTGGAGCTGTCCCGGAGATGGAAGCCATTATTTCGACAGTCAACCTGCAGCCAGCGTCTATCACAATTGCATCGACAGTACGTGGACGAGTACTGGAACCGTCAGAGACTCAGGATCCGCACTACTGGGGCGAACAGCTTACACTGCCCGTGAGGTTTAGAGAAGCCGTGGAGGCAGCTGTAAAGGCAGCTGACTCCGATCACATCGTGTTTTTGGAGGTCGGGCCCCAGCGGACATTAGTCAACCTAACTGGGCAAATTACCACTGCATATGAAGGTCTAAGTGCAGAGTTCCTGAACATGGTTGAAAGGGGTGAAGCAGCAGATGAGGAAACGCTGATGGAGAGGCTGCATCACTTCGAGCGCATGTGCAGTTTTCCCGACACACAGCGGGGGAAGCACACTTGGAATCACCAGTAGGACAGTTTCACCCCTGCTGTTGACTGGAAAGGGAGACTGCAACTTATTTGCACTTCAACAAAGCTTGGCCCCTTGCCTATGGCAAGAACGCATACGGTGCTTTTTTCCCTTTTTATCTTTCTTTTCCTTTGCAGGGCCTTCGAATGGAGAAAGGTTTCCCATCCCCTCATTGACAGCGATGCTGCTGCCTCCTCTATCGGGTCGGACAACGAAGCAGCTCAGTGCGACGCAATCATTCGTAGTGGTGTCCTTGAGGTGCTGAAAGATCACATTGTATGGGGGACACCCATCCTCCCAGGAGTGGCCTTCATTGATGCGATGTTAGGAGCTGTCTTGGCACAGTCTGGTGCCAGACTTAGTGAGGATGGCATTGAGTTGCATGATGTTGCAATAATGCAACCAATGATACTGACTGAAGGTCCTGAAAAGTGGGGAACGAGCGTATCAAGCTGCCCAACCAGTTATAGCGAGGTGCGACTGACAATGAGACTAGAGAATAGGGGTGAACGCGCTTATGTTGGTCTGTCATCTAACCACACAGGGGGCGTCTCACCGGATACAAACCTATCGTCTGCAGTGGTACATGCTGAGGGTTGGGTCGCCGTGATGGACGATGCAGTCTCTCAGAAGCCACCAACAATGGATATAGGAGAGAACGCAAAGACTATGTCTGAAAAGATGAGCAAGAACTACAGTGCAGCTGAAGCCTATCAAGAACTCAGAAGACATGGACTTGAGTATGGCCCCCGCTTCCAAACAATTCACGAATTAACTATCGCAGGAACCTCCGCTCTTGTTGAACTCCGCTTCATGCATGAAGTAGCTGACTTTGAAAGTAGCTTCATTTTGCATCCATCCATTCTCGACGGATGCGTACAGGCAGCTGTCCTCCTAGTCCTGCACCTTCTGCCAACCTCTGCAGCTCTCGTGCCTGTTGCGGCATCGGAGATAAGGGTTTGGGGGAGTACAACTCCACCACGCAGCTCGTATTGGGCAAATATGGATATAGTTGGTGGGAGCAGCAGCCAAATTTCAGAATACGAGAAAGCCGTTGTGTCAATTACGTTGGTGGACGACTCCGGTAATGTAGTTGCGCAGGTTGGCAAAATGCGTTTGCAACCAGTAGTGGAAGATCAGATTATACCAAAGGAAAGGGACCTGAGTCGGGGCCTCCTATGGGGAATGAAGTGGGTTGAGACCAAACCGGTGCAGATGCCTCAGAAGCCAGCCAAGCAACGGCGAGCTTTGCAGTGGCTCGCCTACGGACTAGAGACGGAGACTGAGTGCTCGATGTTTCAGAGGTTTGATCTATCTGAGAACAACAGTGTGGAATTGCATTGCTGCTCGAAGGTATTGAACAATGAGGCGGGTGGTGTCAAATTGGAGGAGTGGGACGCAGTGCTACACTATGGCGGTGTGTGCCAGTGCTGGGACGGGGCAGTTGACTACACCGCAGACGTGCTTGCACTTTTACAGGGTATTACAAAGCATCTCGGTGCCGACGGAACGGAGCCCATACCTCCTATAGTCATTGTAGTTGCAGGCGCCTTTGCTGTGCGGCCTGGGGAGCAGGCAGTTCATCCACTCCTAGCTGGAGTTCGTGGCCTGTGCCGGACAGCACGGCTTGAATTAGAAGCCGCTGCGAATCGGCCAGTGCCTCTCTTGTTGATAGATCTTGAACCAACTGGTCAGAAGACAGCTCACTTCACAACCGACATGATTCAACAGGTCGCGTCAATTTTGCGGTCCTATCATACTACTCCGTCTCGTCAAGGCTTCGCAGCAGGTGGGAGGCAATATATTATGACTGAAATTGCTGTTCGCGGAGGCCGCACTTTTACTCCACAGCTTAGGTTCAGTGACATCAGGCTCCTGCAGACCGTTCGGGCAGGGAGCAGCATTGGGCAGGGCGAGACATGTATAATAACAGGCGGGCTCGGTGGCTTAGGTCTCGTTGTAGCCATTTGGCTTGCAAGAAAAGGTGCGAAGACGATTATTCTGCTCTCGAGAACAGGAATGCCTCCGCGGGAGGGAACTTTGGCCCAACTTTGGCAGCAGCTTACAGAGCAGTGCAGATGCACACAGGTTATCGTTCAACAGTGTGACGTTGCCCGTGTTTCTGAGGTCGACAAGCTGTTTGCTTGTATGCAGCAGGGATATCTGGTTTGCAACGTGACGGGTCTCCTGCACTTTGTGGAGCCTTTAACTGGAATATTTCATAGCGCAGGTGTGCTCATGGATAAGCCGCTGCCGCAGCAGGATCGATGCTCTGTGGAGGTGGTGTTCAAGCCAAAGGTACAGGGAGCTTGGAACCTGCACAACTGCCTTGCAGCACGAGGAATGGAAAAGGATCTGAAATACTTCGTTCTGTTTTCGTCCTCTGTGGGGCTACTGGGAAACGCTGGCCAGGCAAACTATGCCGCCGCTAATTGCTGCATTGATGAACTTGCTCTGTATCGACGTTCGCATGGACTGGCTGCCCACAGCATTCAATGGGGTCCATGGGTAGAACAAGGCATGGCGGCACAGCTGCAAGGTCGCTTTGCAAAGACTGGCTTTGGGGGTATATCGAATGCTTTAGGCTTGCTTGCCCTAGATGCTGTGTTGCAGCAAAATACGGAGTCAGTCGTAGGGTGCCAGCCACTGTATTGGAATCGTTTTCTCCCGCGATACAGGTTTGTCACGCCAAGATTCCTTGAAGAGATGGGAACCCTAGAAACAAACGCCTCTAAGACACTTGTTACCACGTCAGCCGTTCCTAGTGGACCTCGCCTAGAGGTCGCGCAGCAAGCGAACAAAGGGAAACAAAAGGACAAGCGAAAGCATATTCAACAGGTCGTCATGCAAGCCGCAAAGTCCGTCCTCAACGATGCAGCAGGCGTAACCGTAGATGCGCCTCTACAGGAACTTGGAATCGACTCTTTAGGAGCGATCGAATTCCGCGATGCAATTCAAAGTGCACTACATGTCAGGCTCAGCGCCACGGTTTTATTTGATCATCCAACGGTTGACGCGCTGACGAAGTTTCTTTTGCAGGACCATGGCGAAGAAGAAGCTGCGGAGACCTCCTATCGTACAGGCATTGAGCAGGTAACGACTTTCGAGTCTTCGCCAGGGGTGGAAGCGGCAGTAGTAGGGATGGCATGTCGGTTTCCAGCGTCTGAGGACAATCCGCTGGGCTTCTGGCAAACGGTGTCAGCAGGAGTGGATTGTGTGTGTGATGTTCCACTTTCACGATTCGATATCGACGCATACAACCGCGGAATGGCTGGCGATGCTGGCATTTATACGCGCGCTGGCGGGTCAATTAGAAATTTTGACCTTTTCGACTGCCAGTTTTTTTCCATTTCCACATTGGAGGCGGCGCAAATGGATCCACGACAGAGGGTATCCATGGAGGTTTCCTATGACGCCATGTTTGATGCGGGAGTTGAGCGAGGGGGGGCCGATGCAGAGGCCACAGGAGTCTTCGTTGGGTCGATGAATCACGAAACGGCCTTGGACGGGGGAGTCTCTGCCACTGCGTACACGGTCACAGCTGCCCATATAAGCATATTATCCAACAGGATTTCATATGTTAATGGATTTTCTGGGCCAAGCGTTACTCTAGACACAGCGTGCTCCTCCTCGCTTGTTGCACTCGATTTTGCGATTAGCTACATGGCAACGCAGGC